CGTCCTCCCAGGTCGCTGCAGCTTGCTCGTGTCGGTCCCTCACTTACCCGTCCATCTCTGGCACCACCGCTTAGGTCACCCTGCTCTCCCGCGTCTGCGTCACATGTCCCAGCACGGTCTTGTCTTAGGTCTCCCCGCGTCGCTCCCTGCCCTTCCTCCCTCGACTGCGCCGCCGTGCACGCCTTGCATCGAGGGACAGCTCCGCCGTGCTCCTCACTCCTCCTCGTTGCGCCCTACTACTGCCCCCCTTTAGACCCTGCACATGGACGTTTGGGGCCCTGCCCTTGTCCCCGGACGCGCGGTGAGCGCTACTTCCTTGTGCTCCTCGACGACTACACGCGCTACACCACTGTGTTTCCCCTGGAGCGGAAGGCCGACGTGCCCGACGTTCTTCTCCCGTGGGTTGTGGCTGCGCGTCTTCACCGCGATCTCGCCGTGTTGTGTCTCTACTCTGACCGTGGCGGCGAGTTCACCTCTGGTCGGCTTGGACAGTTCTGTCGTGCAGAGGGCATCACCCAGTCGTACACCTTGCCGGACTCGCCACAGCAGAATGGGGTTGCTGAGCGCCGCATCGGCTTGGTCATGGAGGTTGCTCGTACCTCCATGATTCATGCCGATGCCACCCATTTTCTGTGGCCGTTCGCTATTCGCAACGCTGCTCACCAGCTTAACTTGTGGCCACGCTCCCAGCGGCCGCAGGTTTCGCCGACCCTCCTTTGGACCAGGTCCCCTGGTGACGAGTCTGCATTCCAGGTCTGGGGCTGCCTTGCTCACGTTCGTGCCTCTGGCACGGACAAGCTCACTGCCCGCACTGTCCCCTGTGTCTTCCTCGGTTTCCCCCTGGACTCGTCTGACTGGCTTTTCTACCACCCGCCGTCTCACCGCTTCCTCCACTCTCGTGACGTCACCTTTGACGAGTCTGTCTCCTTCTACCGTCGCTTCCCTCACCGAGGTCTCCCGGTTGCCCCGCCCTTGTTCCTGGCTCCCTCTCCCCCGGTAGCCCCTGCTCCTCTCCCGCCTTGTCCTGCCCCGTATGGTGTCTCTCACGTCACTCCCCTCCCGTCGGATGTCCCCGTTGAGGAGTCTGCTGACTCTGGTAGTCCCCCTGGCCCGTCCCTGCCGCGTCCCCCTTCCCCGGTGTCTCCGCCTTCCCTGCCGCAGTCGCCGTCACCGCCGCCGCCGCTGCTGTCGCTGTCGCAGTCACCGCCAACGCCACAGCCACCGCAGCCGCCGTCGCCGCCTCCGCCGCTGCCGCCGTTGGTCTCTGGGGGTGCTGGCGTTAAGGAGGGTGTTCGTCCTGCGGCTCCCGGGGGTGCCGTTGGAGTTGGAGGGGGTTCTTGCTCTGGGGGTGTTGGTTCTGGGGGTGCTGCTGTTGAGGGTTCCGCCGACGGTCGTCCTGCCTCTGCTGGTCCGAGGGGTTCCGGCCCAGCTGTCGCGGCAGCCGCAGCAGCCGTCCCCGCCGGTCTCCGCTCTCCGCCTGCTCGGCCTTCCCTCCCCAGACCGCGCGCTGGTGTCTCCCCCACCGCCTGCTGACCTTCCTGTCTACGGTCCTGTGTTCCCGCCGCCGGACTCGTCTCCGGCCTGTCTTCCTCCTTGTTCCCCTCCTGTGTCCCCTCCGCTGTCCCCTGACCCTACACCTCCGTCTCACGTTTGGTCTCGCCGTCCCTCCCGTGCTCGTCACGTCTTTCCTGTCCTGCCCACCCACCCTATGTTGCTCCGCTCCCTCTCGTCTCGTTCTCCCCTCCTCCCGTCCCCTCCTCCGTCGTCCCTTGCTGTTGCACCTCCTCCGTTCTCTGACTACCTTCATGCTGCTCGTCCCCTTGTCCCTCGGGTCCTTGCCTCTCTTGTTACCGACCTTGCTGTTCCTGTCTCGCGCCTTGACGCACTTGTCACTGCTGTCGCTGACTTCGCCTCCACCCGCCGCCTTGACTACGCTACCGCTCTGGTCTCTGACCCTGCCCGTCTTCCGTCCATCGGGGGTGCTCCTGCCCTTGGCACTGACGTCCTAGAGGACAGGCAGTACGAGCTTGCTTTCCTTTCCGAGGCTGCTCCCCATCTCTGCTCCATGCTGTTAGTCCCTGAGGGTGACCCAGACGCCTTCGACATCCCGACCCCTCGCACCTACGCTGAGGCCACCTCGGGACCTTGGGCCTCTCAGTGGATAGCTGCCATGGAGCAGGAGATGGCATCTTGGAAGTCCAATGGCACTTACGTCGACGCAGTTCCCCCGCCTGGGGTGAACGTAGTCGATGGTCGGTGGCTCTTCAAGGTGAAGCGCCCCCCTGGCGAGCCGCCTGTCTTCAAGGCGCGCTACGTGGCCAGAGGTTTCAGTCAGCGCGAGGGGGTTGACTTCTTCCAGACCTTTGCCCCGACCCCGAAGATGACCACTCTTCGGGCACTGCTACACGTAGCAGCACAGCGCGACTATGAACTTCACTCCCTCGACTTCTCTACTGCCTTTCTTCAGGGCAGCCTACACGAGCAGGTCTACCTGCGCCGACCACAGGGCTTCACTGGTACCTTCCCCCCTGGGACCCAGTGGCTTCTCAGGCGCCCGGTCTACGGCCTGCGTCAAGCTCCTCGCGAGTGGCACGATACGCTGCGGGCCACGTTAGCAGACCTGCAGTTCTTTCCGTCCTCTACTGACCCCTCGCTGTTTGTGCGTTTCAGCCAGACTCCATTCTACATCCTTGTCTACGTAGACGATCTGGTCTTCGCTACTGCTGACAGGGACGCGCTGGCCTCTGTGAAGGCCGAGCTGCTGAAGAGACGCACCTGCACTGACCTTGGAGAGCTGCGTCGCTATCTTGGTCTGTAGATCTCTAGGGACAGAGCAGCACGCACCATCACTCTGACACAGTCACACTTGGTGCGTCAGGTCCTTCAGAGGTTCGGTCTTCAGTTCTCCTCCGCACAGCCCACACCTCTACCTATAGACCATGGGCTCTCCGCTCCCGTTCTTGAGGAGCCCGTAGAGCCCAGTGGCCCCTACGCAGAGCTGGTGGGTTGCCTCATGTACCTGATGACTTGCACTCGCCCAGATCTCGCATACCCTCTCAGCATCCTGGCTCGCTTTGTGGCTAAAGGCAGACACCGACCTCAGCACTGGTTTGCCACAAAGAGGGTTTTGCGTTATCTTGCTAGTACATCGGGCATGGGGTTAGTGCTAGGAGGACGCAGGCCAGTGGTCCTTACTGGGCACACAGAAGCTTCTTGGGCAGACGACTCTGAGACGCTCAGGTCGTCGCAGGGCTACTGTTTCAGCCTTGGTTCGGGTGCTATCTCTTGGAGATCCACTCGTTCGTCGTCTGTGGCTCAGTCTAGCTGTGAGGCTGAGATCTACGCTGGTGCCATGGCGGCACAGGAGCTCCGCTGGCTGACCTTCTTGCTCACAGACTTAGGTGAGCGGCCTAGCTCTGCCCCGGTCCTGTACGCTGACAACAGAGCCATGATACTCCTGTGTTAGGAGCCTCGGCTTGAGGGCAGAGCGAAGCATATCCAGCTACGGTACTTCCTCCTGCGCGAGCTATAGCAGCGCCGCCAGGCCCGCGTAGTTCACTTGGCCTCAGGTGCCAACACAGCTGATATCTTTACTAAGGCGCTTGTGCCTAAAGATCATCAGCGGCACTCTGTACAGACTGGTCTTGTTTCTGTAGCTACTTCCCTGTTAGGATCCTGATTGTGTACTTTCTATTATATATGCCTGTCAGACTAGCCTTGTGGCCTTACCTCCAGTGGCTGGACTAGTAGTGCCGCCCTGGCTTGCTTTAGTTTTGTTTGTATTCTTGCTGACTGGCCTCCAGACCCCTGCCTCAGTGGTTGGACTAGTAGTGCCGCCCTGAGCTGTTTGCTTCTTGCTTAGCTTCACCCCTTGTCTAGCCTAGGGGGTGTGTCAACTTATACATATTAGCTATGTAAAAGTTATAGACCGAGGTATGCTTCTAGTGAGTACAACCAACTAGTATTTGTTCTAGGTTTCCACTTCTACTCTATCATTCAGTTCTCACTTTAACAGTGGCGCCATTGCCTTCAAGGATGTTAGTATTAAACCAGGAGTAGCTCTTTGACGAATCCGTATGCTAACGGGTAAAATCTAGGCAATTCCGTCCGCTAACGAGTATTTTTCGGGCCGATTCTGTTACCTAACGGAATACCCTAGGCTTAGCGAGAGCCCTGTGTTCAATGTGCGACAGTGAGCAACCAAGCAAGACGGCATGGCTAGATGCCAACGGCAAACCTTTATAATGTACAATCACTTAAAGCCTGACCGGCAGGTTGTAAGTCCTCTTTTCTCAAGATGCTGCACCTTGAGGCCCTCGTAACCGAGCAGCTGGCATTCAACTGCCAAATGCTCGCGAAGGATAACAACTAGGCAGGGCTGGGGCCCTCTCAGAACCTGGCAGTGCAAACCTGTCGAGTTCTTGGAGGGAAAAGATGGGAGGGGGGTAGAAACCTGAATTTGTATTGTGCAGTGTGGGTGGGAATCGCGAAACAAAAATGTGATTCGTATGTTTTGGGCCTTACTGTACAGAACTGTATATGCGTCAAACAACATCCGATTTGTTTTTCCGAAACCGGTCAGGTCAAAGGGCTGGTTGTGATCGAAACAGCCAACCAGTTCTCGCCCTGCAAACTTGGCAGAGGTGGCTCTCTGCCAGATTGTGAGCTGCAAAACTGGCAGCCCTGCCAAGTTTCCAGCCCCGCTAGCTCGCGCGAAACAGACGCTGACTCTGCGAAGCCCATTCTTCGCCAGCTATTTCGTTTCCATAAGCTTTCGTCGTCCAATCAGGTTCTGCCGCCCCACTACCTAAACAGTACAAATATGCAACCTACCGGGCGGGCTTTAACGTTAGCAATGACAAGCCAATCACTCGTAGAGCCAGGAATGTTATTGCAGCAACAGCGTACACCCCATGCCGGTATAGTTACATGAGTCGTTTGAAAACGTCAACGGAAAGGCAGTGGCTACAGTGTTTGGGTGATGGGTGCGCTTCGATCACCTGGAAGTGCGCGTTCCTCGCATTCAACGGACGGGATTCGGCAGCTTGGATGCACGAGCATCGCAGGGCCCAGCAGCGAGTTGGCCATTGGCCAATATGCCTGGTTCACGAATCAGGCGCAGGTGGGTAAGTGGGTGTAATGGTCCAAGAAAAAAAGCGGTGCAGTGCGGTGTTGTTGATGAGGCGAAGGGTTTCAATTGTCCAAGCAGAGGAGAAAATTGATGTGCTTCAATTGACTCCCCCCCCCTAACTCCAGGGTCCTGACTGGTGTGGTGTTCTGGTGGGTCAGAACTGACCTTGTTAGGAGCGGCAGGCCTAACCAGACGAACGGGTGTCGACACAACTTAATCTCCTCTCACAATGGCAGTCGAGTCGCCTATCCGACGGCTACCTGAGGAGCTGCTTTCCCGGGTCCTGTATTTTCTTGCTCGACCTGATGGCCAATTGGAGCACACGCTGGTCTGCAAACAGTGGCATCACATTGCACTTCGCGTGCAGGACCAGATCCACTTGCGCAGTGAGCTCCACATCGACCCTCTTCGACTCGTTAAGCGGCTGTCGTCATTACCTAACGTCAAAAAGCTCTTACTTTCCTATCTCAGCCTCACCTCGGCCTCTGATCTCCTCCTCTCTCGCCTTGCTGACACGTGTCCCAATCTGACCGACCTTCGCGTTGACTTGATGACAAGTGGAAGCGGTCGCGGAAGTTTCACTGAGAAGGGCCTGATTTCTTTGTTCGACGGATGCACTCGGCTGGAGGATCTTAATCTTTACTGCTTGGACCGTGTTACTGCCATTCCTCCCTCCATCGACCGTCTCGGCTTGCTCAGGAATCTCCACCTCACTGCAAGAGTCACGCGTCTCCCCGACACCTTCACCTCATTACAGTCACTCACGAGCCTCGAGCTGCACATGGCTAAACTCGACGCTTTGCCGCAAGATTTCGGGAATCTGATATTCCTGAAGACTCTTGAGCTGAGCGGTTGCTCTTTGCTGACGTCACTCCCGAAGTCCTTCGGACAACTCGCCAGTCTGGACCGTCTCTCCATCAACGAGTGCAGAACGTTGCAGCTGCCTGACTCTATCACCAAGCTTTCGTCTCTGGCGGTTCTGGAGATTAGACGATGCAGAATTACTCTCCCACATCCCGCCAATTTCGGTCATCTGCTGGCGCTCGAGACCCTACTTTTGAATGAAGTGACCGGAATGAGACAGTTGCTGAACGCTCTCGAGCACCTGCCGCGGCTGAAGACGGTTACCATCAAGCACTGCAGCGATATCAGGTCTCTGCCAGGGTCTCTTCCCAGCATTGGTTCTCTCACCAGCCTCAAGCTTGAGTTTCTAGACGTTTCAGTGCTGCCCGAAGATATTGGGCAGCTATATGCCCTTCGGACTCTCACGCTGGATCTGCGGAGTCTCACAAGCCTTCCTGACTCCATTGTCCTGATTTCGACGCTTCAGGAGCTTTCCCTTAATCGTCTCTCCAATCTGACACATCTGCCCGAGGAGTTCGGGCAGCTGATCGGCATGGAAACGCTCTGCTTGAAGGGCCTTTCACAGCTCACACACCTGCCCGAGACCATCGGAGAGCTGGCAATTCTGCAGGAGCTGAAAATAGAGGGGTGTACGCAGCTGGCTAAGCTGCCTGATTCTCTCTGCCAGTTGTCTTCTCTCGAGCGATTGGAGATTGACTCATGTCCGAGGCTCACTGCTCTACCGGACGGCACAGGGAACGGTCTGCACCGCCTGCGCCATCTGCATCTGCTGCACTGCAAGGCTCTCACCCACCTCCCCCCGTCCTTCTCCGGCCTGTCGTCTCTCGAAACCCTGAAGATTCTGCAAGCACGAAGCTTCAGAGGAGCCCTGCTAGACGGCTTCTGCTGCCTGAAAAGCCTCAAGGAGTTGTCTCTCTGCAACATGCCGCGCCTGTCTGCCCTTCCTGCCTCCTTCTCCGGCGTTCTCTCACTCACCAGCCTGGAAGTGGTCAACTGCCCTAAAGTATCGGACCTGCCTGAAGGGTTCGGACGGCTGCTGGCGCTCGAAGAGGTCAGGATCGCAGGGATGGACGGCCTGAAATGCCTCCCTCCGTCGCTACTTGAGCAGTCGGGACTGCGGGTATTGGAGGTGCGGGCATGTAATGGGCTCCGCTCCTTTCCCGGCACCAGCAGCGGCAACAGCAGCGCACTGCTTCCATCCGTCCAAATTCTCAAGCTCAAGGCTCTTTCACTCGACTCCTTTGGTCCATCCCTTGGCCGCCTGTCCTCACTAACGAAGCTGAAGCTCCTCGACATTTACGGCCGTGCATCGCTCCCTGATTCCATCTCTCAACTCTCGCAGCTGCAAAAGCTCCGGATTTACAACTGCATGGAGATGAAGGCACTGCCTGAAACCCTCGGAGGACTTTCGGAACTCTGTGTCTTACAGCTGGTTAGCCTAGACGATTTGCGCAAGCTGCCCGAGTCTCTGGGGCAGCTGAAGAAGCTCGAGACGCTGGAAATCATCGATTGCCACAAGATAATGCGACTTCCAGAGTCCTTCCCGAATCTGTCCAAGATGCAGTCCTGCACTCTTGTCAAACTTGGCGTTTCTTCAATTACTGATGACTTCTGGAAGCTTTCTTCCCTGAAGGAACTGGTGCTCCTGGGCCTGAAGAACGTGCGCAGCTTGCCTGAGTCATTCACTCAGCTGCCCCGGCTGCAAGTGCTCCAAGTGATTGCCTGCAAACGGCTGGCTTGGATGCCGCCTTCGCTCCGGCAAATGCCGATGCTACGTGAATGTTATATCGGCGAATGCAGTTTGCTTTCACGGCGAGTCACTCGGGGGATTCCTGTAAGGGGAGACGCGGAGGATGGAGAGGAGGGAGGGGGCGAGGAAGAGGGGGGTGAAGAGGAAGAGGAAGAAGAGGAAGAGGGAGCAGATGAGGCGGAAGGGGAGGATGGGGACCTGGGGGAAGAAAGTGATGGGGAGGATAACAACATTGGGCACGAGTATGGGTTTGATAGCGAATGCGATGACGACGACGAGAGCTGCTGGCTGGCAGGCGAGGATGAGGAGGAATAGGTTGGTGGTGGTGACACTTGGAGAGAGGGTGGGGATGTGGAGGACTGGAAGTGCAAGTTTGAAAGAGGACTTGGGAGTAATCGATGGGGTAGTGATGTAGGGGTTTTTGCCTTGGTATGATGTACCGGTAGGTTGCATTGTAGGGCTTATGCATACGTAAATTGATGAGTAGCTTGAACTTGTTTTGTTTTGCTTGTTTTGTGTGACTAGGTGCAAAAAGATAATGCTGATTGAGGCTGTACAGTGTGCTCCACAGCTGTGTTGTATGCAGGGTGGTGTATTGTTGATGACATGGTTCAGTCTAATTCCTTGACACATGAGACCTGGACACGGCAAGTTGGCACCCATTCACACATGTTGATTGATGACACCTACCGTACTAGTACTTGCAGGGTGCAGATAGGCGAAGGCACTAAAAGGCATGCAACGAGACAAGGTTCGTAGCAGGAAATCGAGCAGCAAGGACAAGGACAGAGCAGAAACCAATACCGTAGCATAGTGGCACCGATACTGGTAAGGTAGGTAACTAGAGTGTCAGTGAATCAGTGAGCCAATTGACCGAGTGACTGACTTCTTCATCAATCAACTTCATCAATGCATTTCACCAACATCCCTCCATCCCTCCATCCCTCGCCATTTTTCTTCTCTTCGGACTCACGGCACGTGCTGTAACGGGTTACTGGGCCACCCGGCAGCATCAACAGGGCAAAGATATGGCTAACAGATGAACCTGCTGGGTTAGCCTCGCATCACATGTGCCTGCCTGCTGCAAGTGCTTGCGCTTCTTCCTTTTCACTGCGTGCATCCTTGCCGCCGCTGCTACTGCTGCTGCTGCCACTGCTGATGCTGCTGGCGATTGCCGTAACGAGTTCTGCCCTTCAGCTCCATTCACCTACCCCACATGGCACCACCACAGGCATCGCATGGCAGGCAGCAGATGCTCTGCTTCTCCACAGCTATCCCCATCTCCATCTCCTCCATCTCCCATGCCTGCTGCAACGAAATGCTGCTACAACGACGCTTCACTCACCCACTCACAGCTGCTGCTGCTACTGCTGCTGTTGCAGCTGCACCTGGCAAGCAAGGAACAAGCTGTGAGGGAACATCCACGTGAGCCACACTTCCCACTCACCCTTCATGAGCCCCTCCCACAGCCTCTCTCTCAACGAAGCACTATCTACCGTTGAAATCCTCTCAGATTCTATCGAGTGCACACAGCAACACTGTCACCGGCCCGCCTCTATAGACGACACGCTATCAACTCCAGGTTGAGGCAGCGGGGCAGCGGAGGGAGGAGGGGCGGCGGGGATGGAGGAGGAGCGGAAGGAGGTGCGAGGGGCCTTGGCGACAGCGGTGGAAGAGGGCGAGTGCACGGGCTTTCTGCGCTCTATGACCTGCGGGGTGCGGCGGGGTGGGGTATGGGACGTGATGGGGCGGAGAAAGGGGCGCAGGCATGGGTCACAGGAGGAGAGCGAGAGGGAACGGGGCTAGGGAACGAGGGACGCCAGGAGGAGGGAGGAAGGAGGGAGGGAGGGGGAAGGGGAGGGCAGGAGCAGGGTGCAAAAAAAAAGGGGGCGAAAATTGCACACACAAAAATGTTGTGTATTTCGAAAACGTAAATTTTGGTTGCACAATTCGATGAATTCAACAGCCTTGGTGATTCTGTTTCGGGTGAGAAGAAACGGCCGGAAATTCTTTTAACCGGCCGGCCAGAATTCTGCTTTGAGCCATGGGGGGTCACTAGGCGGTGGAGGGAAAAGAGAGGCGGCTTGAAGGCAAGGGGAAAAGGGGGGAGGGAGTGTGGGAGAGAGGGGTGGGGTGGAAGGCAAGAGAGAGGTAGAGGGGTGGGGGGGGGACGAGAGCTGTGAGTAGATGCAGGAAGACAGATCACAGACTTGAATAAATACCGTGCCAGAAAACTGTTCTTATGTGCATGATGATGGCTGACTAATATAGTGGAGGCGGGAGGGAGGTGGCGGAACGCTAGGCAAGCGGAAAGGGGGGGGGGGGGAGGCGAGGAGGGTACCTTGGGTCCGCGGTACTGCCCCCGTTGCACGACAAAGTCGTCGGACGGTTGGAACTCCTCCAGCCAGCAGAATGGATTCCCCCGCCCCCCGTTGATGCCCGGCGGCAATGGCAGTGTGCCTGGGACCAGGGCGCCAGGGAGACGTGGGAGAGGTGGGACGGGTGGGAGAGGCGGGAGAGGTGGGACGGGAGAGGTTGGTGACATGCTGAATCAGTAGACTCAGCCAATGGGTGAGATGCGCGGCATAGGTTTGGCCAACACCAGCAAACAGGGGAGCGTGCAGCATGGAGGCATGATGCTGGCTTCATTAGAATTCTAAAAAACCTCGCGCAACGAGAGCAAGCAGCAGGACGTGCAGCAAGCAGGGAGAGGGAGAGGAAGAGGAAGAGGAAGAGGTAGCGGAGGAGAGGAGCGGAGGAGAGGAGGAGGGGGGGGGGGGGGGTGGAGGGGGGCTTCAGCACGCACTGAGTGACGAGAGCTCGTGGAAGTAGCTGCAGTGGCGGCCGGCGTCGGCGTTGTAGGGCGGGGCGAGCACGTCCAGCACCGCGCACGCGGTGACGGCCGTGAAGGCGTGCAGGTTGCCCCCGCACGTGGGGTGCAGCACCTCCGTGGCACACGGCGCCGTCAGCACCTGGTCCTCCACTAGCTCCGCTAGGCGCACTGGTGGACAGATATTGGGAGTGGGGGGGGGAAGGGGGGGAATGCATGGATGGAGATGTGCATGCCACGCGGCGCTGTCAGCACCTGGTCCTCTACTAACTCCGCTAGGCACACTGGTGGACAGGTGGGGTCGTGGAGGGGGGAGGGGGGGGGGTTTGGGGGGTGGTTTCGGAATGAATAGATAGGGACTTCGCGAAGGGTAGAATAGTGCACCGCATGCGGGGTGCAGCACCTCCGTGGCACATGGCGGTGTCAGCACCTGGTCCTCCACTAGCTCCGCTAGGAGCCCTGGTGGACCGGTATTGGGAGGGGGGGGAGACAGGGTGGTTTGGGAACGCGTGGATGGAGATGGGTGTGCCACACGCGCTGGTTGAAGCGGGTGGGATGGGTGAGATGGGCGAAATGGGAAGGGTGAGACGGGTCTGATTCAACGAGGTGGTGTGTGGGGTGGTGTGCAGTGGACGTCCAACGTGCTCATAATGGAACTATTTTTTAGGCGCCTCAAACAACGTGCTCATAATGGAACTAAAAGGGGAACGGGATGACGACAGAACCAGACAGACACCCGAACGAAGGGAGCTGCAGCAGAGAGCAAGAGTCCAAGCTGGGCGCGAGGAGAAGTGGATTAGCAAAACCAGCAGGAAAAGAGAGAAAAGAAAAGGGTGCAGCAGTAAAAGGAGAGAAAGAAAGAAAGAAAGAAAGAAAGAAAGAAGCAATGCCCGGGGGACTGGCTGGCCACGAACGAACCATCGGGTGACGCGGCAGCAGAACCGGCAGCAGCAGCAGCGGAGGCGGCGGCGGCCGTGGCAGTGGCGAGCGCAGCGGCAGAGGCGGCGTCGTCCATGGGGCGCACCCAGTCGAAGGAGCGGATGTGCATGGAGCCGTACAGCAGCTTCGACAGCACTGTCATGCCCGGGTGGTTGTGCAGGGGGATGCACGCCGACGCCGGTAGACAGAAGATGCCGATCTGGAAGGGCGGGGGGGGCGGGAAAGGGGGGGGGGGCGCAGGGGAGTGGGGAAAGGCATGGGTTTGGGAGAGACAGGGTTGCAGGAGAGTGGGGCGGGCGTGAGAGAGAGTGATGTGCAAGATAGACGGGGGAAGGGGAGGGGGGGATGATGTACGCATGTGAGCATCCGCATAAACGCATGTGAGTATCCTGATAAACACATGATAGAGTCGTGCCATGCGGCTGCAGTGCTGCCGACTCTACAATTAACTTCCGCCCAAAGCCAGCAGAGGCTGCGGCTTAGAGGCTGCGGCCTAGAGGCTGGCAGTTAGTAGGGATTAGGGCGGACCCATCAACCACCTCCCCCAGCCTAAAGACTGACAACGGCCTCTGCAGTGCTTCTGCCAGAGCTGGCTGGCTACCCTGCAGTGCTGCTGGGGCAGGAATCCAGCCGTCTGTGTTTTGTGTCTCAGCAGCACTCAAAACACACCTGGCTAACCTGCAGTGCTGCCCGGGCAGGAAACCAGCCCCACACTGCACGAGATGAGATACCAGCTCCAAAGAACCGGCTTAAGTGTATTGAGTCGACTCAAAACACACCTGCCAGAGACGGATCATGGCTGGCTACCCTGCAGTGCTCCTGGGGCAGGAACCCAGCCCCACACTGCACGAGATACGAGCCCCAACGAACGGGCTTATATCCCCCAACCCCAAACCCAGCCCCAGCCCCAGCCACAACCCCTTGGGGACCGTGGGCCCTGCACCTGGAAGGCATTGCCATGCGCTACAGGGAACAAGGGGCCTTGGGTTTTGGGGCGGTTCACTCCGATTCTCTAAATGGCTTCCCATGCGGCAGTCGTGTGTTTCACGCCAGTGTGCTGTGCCTTTCGCATCTCGATCGGTTTAGAACCGACACAGAGAGAAGGAGACGGACGAGAGGAGAGGGAGGGGGTCGGGCGGAGAGGGGGGCCCGGGGGGGGGGGACGGGGCAGAGGGGAGGGGGGTTGCGGAGCACCCTAGCTTATCCACCCAAAGCAGTGGATTTACCGATGGCGAGCCTCCTACATATGGTGAGTAACCAGCACGGTGCTACGAGCAGCAGAGAGACGTACCGAGAAGTCGTCACACTCATACACGTGCAGGTACGTGATGGGCGGGGACCACCGCGCCTGCTTCCCCCCCGTCCCCCCCTGCCCTGGTCTCCTGCTATCCTGCCCCCGCGCTCCCCCTTTCCCCCCGCGCCCGCCTCCCCCTTTTGCCCCGGACCCCGCTCTCCCCGGGGAGCCCTCCGCCCCCGCCGCCATGGCCTCTAGCCCCACGTCCGCCGGGCGGATGGCGTCTGGCGGGAAACGCAGGGGGGGTTGGGGAGGGTTTTGGGGGGAGGGGGGAACGAGAGGTGGTGGCGTTAAAATGGAAGGTTCGGAAGGCGCGCTACTTCCGCCGCAGTATCCGCAAGCACCCGCATGCGCGGGCAGAGAGGCCCTGGCGGGGGGGGGGGGGGGGGGGGGGGAGGGGGGGAAAGTGGGAAAGGGGGGAAAGTGGGAAAGGGGGGAAGGCTGCTGATGGGCGGCTGATGGGCGGCTGATGGGCGGCTGATGGGCGGCTGATGGGCGGCTGACGGGCGGCTGATGGACAGCCGTGGGGGATCAAGGCTCTAAGGGGGTTGCGGAACAGTGCAGAGGAAAAAACCAGGGTGTGTCAGGGGAAAAGAGTTAAGAAGGAGTTTGGAGCCCAAGGAACGAAGGTAGCACATGATAAGGACAGGCAGGCTAGAGTCGTGACCGCATACCACCGCATACCACCGCATACCTAGAATGGTCCGGACCCGTTCCAGCCCTTGTGCATCGGGAAGTTCCGAGCCGAGAAAGGCGGCTCGGCACGCATCGTGAAGCTTCTGCACTTTGGGCATGGCTGCTACTGCTGCGTCGTCCACGTCGTCCACGTCGTCCACGTAGTCGTACTCGTCGTCGTCCTCGTCGTCTGGCGACACTAGACCCCCAACCGCGTCACTACAGCACCGCGCAACAACCCGGCCCCCCCTTGCGGAAACCCTAATCTTCCCCCTGTTATTGACACCCCTGCTACTCCAGCTACTGCTATTGCTCCGCCCGCTGTGGCTCCGCCGTCCGGCTTCTATAACGAGGGGCGGTGCGCTCGGGGCGCCAGGGGAGAGGGGCGAGAGGGGCGAGAGGGGCGAGCAGCACGGGACGGCGCGGCGCGGAAGGAGGGGGGGCAGGGACGCGACGGTGGAGGAGGGGAGGGGGGAATGGCGGCGGATGGAGTGCGGGTTCGGGTAACGGCGAGCGTGAGAGATAGGGCTCGCTAACGCCGGTACGGAGGAAAACGGCGGCGTGTGCGGAGCGTCATGGGTGGCCGCAGGAGGAGCAGCAGCAGGAGCAGGAGGAGGAGGAGGAGGAGGAGGAGGAGGAGGAGGAGGAGCAGCGGTAGCAGCGGGGACAGGGCGGGGTGAAGAGAGTCGGTGGAGAGCGGTGACGGCAGCGGGGTGAGGCGGGACCGAGCGGGAAGGGCGCAGGCGAGCGACCAGCGGTCGGAGAGGAGTGATGGCGGAGGGCGCCACGATGGCCGCGATGGGGAACGATGGAGGGGGTGATGGCGGACGGTAAGGGAGCTACGGAAGGTAAGGGAGCAGATGGAAGGTAAGAAAGCGGATGGAGGGTAAAGGAGCGGATGATACGGGAGTGATAGAGGGTGAAGAAGTACGTTCTAAAGCGCCTTAGGTCTGTTCGTTGCCAGCTCGGCACGAGAGACGGCGAGATGACTCGGGGACGCTGCGTCGATGGACGTGCGGCTATTACACACGAACGGCGGTTATTGGTCAGTCAACCTCGATCACGGAGATAGCGAAAGGCAGGTCAGAACGTCCTCGGGCGATCGCAAGGCCCATCAGCCCGAAAAACAACCCAAAAAAGAAGAAAAGAAAAGAACGCAACGAAATGCAGTCCTGCTTCCCAGAACCTTTTATTTCTCCGAACAAGCCTGATGACGCGAGCCGACCTGGATGCCCTCGCACGTCGTCGCGCGCTGGTAACCGTCTCTAACGCATCTTCAACGGACCTCCTGCCCTAGCATTATTACACCTAGTTCTCTCAAGTCAGCCCAATGCGAGGGGCAACGATCGGGTAACCAACGAGCCAGCCCAGCAAAAAGGCCTTAGCACCTCAAGCGAAATGGAATGGGAAAGGAAGGAAATGGGTGGGGATGGGTGGGATGGTTGTGCTCGTGGTGCGGTGTCCCACGGTGGTGACAGTAAGGAACGGGGGAAATTGGACGTGCGGAGCCACAGGTTCGCGGAGCACACCAGGGCGGATGTCGCGCGGGGAGACGGGGGAGGGAGAGCGTCGGGTGTGGAGTGCAGACAGGCAGCAGAAAGGAGAGGTTGGTGGGGGAATGACGTGGGGCTTTGCGCCAGGGGCGGAAGGAGCAGAGCAGAGCAGAGGAATGATTGATCACAGCCTGCAGCCCAACCAGCACCTCAATCGCGTATGAGGGTTGCGTGTGGCGTGGCCGCGCCCAATTGTCATGAGTTGGGTCACGTCACGTCAAGTGCTGCAGTTCATTTTGGTGTACCAGTGTTTAGGCCTTGCACAACTTTCAGGCCCTCAACAACCCCTAGCACTATTTTGGTAGCTTGCATTTAGAAAGGAGCATGACAATTGTTGCCATAGTTTTACAAGCAACAGCACCAGCAGTACACATAAGAAACTGCCTTCCAAGTTTTCCAGCAACACCTTCAGCTGTGGATATGTCAATTTACCCACAAATTGTGCTGCTGCTTTCTCTAAGCCGACAGGAAAGGTCTGGACCAGGGCTGACTTTATCAGACTATTTACTCTGATTAGTCTGAAATCTCAGACCGGTTTTTTGGCTAAACCTGAATTTCCAGATAAGGCATTTTCCCAATCCTGATCGATTCAGACTTAGACTTTAGGGATCCTGAAAAAATCAGAGTTCACGCTAACCCAATACTGAGTTTTCAGAGTACATCGGGTACGAACCCTGAAACAGATTTCCACGGGGCACGCAAGATCCCTAGAAATTTCGCATGCCATCAGTGATTCCCGCCCGCGTCACGTGGAGAATCCACACTTCCTTGAAAAATCCGCCAAGTCCAATGAATACTCTGCCCACAGTGGGCACTCTGCTACCCAGCGCAGCAAAAATGCTGCCACGCCGAGCCACTAAGGACCACAGATTCTGCTCTGTTGCTCTCTGTGCATGCGCGAACTTCGGGCCCGTGCCCTCTGTGCCAGCCTTGCAGAGGTTGGCCATCATCCCCATTGGCTGCAGTTGCAGCCAACACATCGACTAGGCAGCATGGCGCTGTGTTGTGCATGGACAAGTCCCGAAACCGCGTCACGCCTTTCAAGAAAGGTGCGACACGGGTTTGATGGACCCCTTCTTCTCCAGTTGTTCCTTACCCACCACCTTCGAACGCACTGCTTCAGGTTTTAGAGGGGAAATCCTTCATGTTGTTCATTTCGACACAGACGTAGTTGTAGTCACTATCTTCATTTCCTACACGTCGTTTCTCCTCTCGCCATGCCTGAAAAGGATGGCGACGACGATGCTCCAGCTGACGGTGATGAGCCGCGCAGCAGTAAGGTTCCTGTCGTTGCGCCAAGGAGCGCCCTAGATGTCTTGCGGCCCGTTGCCGCATCGGCTCCTCCGCCTTTTGTCGCCATAACCGTTGTAAACGAGACCCCACGCGATGAGCCATCGTTGCCTAGTAGACCTGCCCCCGCTCCGTTCGTTCTCCCACCAGCCATAGCATCTTCTAGCAGAGGACCAGTGGATCCTATTGACTGCGCCACTGCCTCTACCGTTCGTTATAGTGTGCCGTGCGCATCGACTGTCTCTTCGGCGAAGAAACAACGTACGACGAAGTATACACAGCAGCGTATCAACTCAGGTGGCCAGATTCGCCCTCCCTCACCACCGCGCTCACCTACCCCCGTCACCCGCCCTGATGAACCGCCGCCACCGAGGCTAAGTACAGAGGAATTGATCGAGCAGAAGTACCTAGTCGCGGAGGCTAAGTATAAGAATGATTGGCTGCGTTATTTCCCATGGCTTGTACTTACCCGTAGTAAAGATGGCTACCTCGCTCTTAAGTGCAGCGTTTGCCGAGCCTTCGGCAAAGAAACGACGAAGTATTCAAGGCCAGGCGACGGCGGGCGAGATCTCCAGACACAGACGATGCGCATTCATGAACACTCAACAGTCCACGAAGCGGCAGTTCGCCGGCAGCTCGAGATTCAAAAGGAAATTGAAGACAAGCAGCAGAAGATGACAAGCTTCGCCACCGTCGATGTCGAAGGCCGCCGCGTCATCCGTCTTTTGCGGTGCGTGGAATTTCTTTGCAAGAACGACGCTCCTATCGCCATGTTTCCCCGGCTGCTTCGTTTCATGGCAGAGCAAGACACACCAGACATACCTCTCCAGTCGTACGGAGTGTATCTCACCAGGTAAGGCTACCTGGCTTTCGCCGGTTGATGGTTGGATTTTGATATGAACCTTGTAAATTTCAATGCATTTCCAATGCTAATTAACCAGTGTCTCACTTCTGATTATGCCACTGCAGGTACGGGTTCCAGCAGATGGTCAACTGTCTCTCTACGCATCTGCTGGCTACTCAGATGGAGCACATCAAGAGCTCACCTTACCTCGGCATCTCATGCGACGAAAGCACCGACCGCACGCGGGGAAAGCACTTGATCGTCTACATCACATTCATGCGGCTGCGTCGAGTCGTCACCGAATTCCTAGCCCTGCTAGACGTTGACAAGTGCGACGCCGCTTCTCTTATGGCCACTCTCTTAGCCCACCTGGAGTCGTCCGGCATCGACCTCCAACGCATCGTTGGCATCAGCACAGACGGCGCGTCGGTGATGGTCGGCCGAGACAACGGGCTTGTGGCGCGACTGCGAGACATCATCCCGCACCTTTTTTCCTCCCACTGCATCGCCCACAGGTTTGTTAAAGTATTCCTTGCTGTGTGTTTATGCTTCTTATGTTTCTGTGTGCTAACCACTACCCATGTCGGTACATGCAGAGAAGCACTTGCTGTGAAGGATGCTGCAGCTTCATGTCCAGACCTCGACATGGTCGACAAAGTCACTCGCACCCTTGCGGACCTTCTCGGCCGGTCGAGCGTATGGAGCAGTCGTTTCAAGCATCTGCAGCGGGCGATTCACAGCACCAACCTTGAGGTTCAAGGCATCCATCAAGTTCGATGGTTGTCCAGGGGAGAGGCAATCCGACGCCTGTGTAAAGTGTTGGGTGCTGCGATTGTTCTGCTGTATGAGTATGAGCATCCCCTGTATGAGGTTGTGATTTCGTATAAGTTTCAGTTTTGCCTCTTCTACCTGGCCGACATGCTGGCACTCATGAACGACCTCAACCTCAAGTTTCAGAAGCGAGAGGTAAGATGCTCATGTTTGCAAGCATGGTGTTCTCCTCTGGTGCAAGTACTCATGTCTTTCACTCCTCTGTGTCCCCCCCCTCTCACACCGCAGGTCGATGTCACAGAGGTGGCAACGGACATCGACGCGACACTGGGGGATCTGCGGCACCGCTATGTCGACTTCGGGGAGATTTTCGGTGTCGGCGCCGAAAACACCTGGCTCTCGGCGTTCCTCGCGGTGTACGGGCGCGACGGAACGAAGCGGGTGAAGGTGCGCGGTATCGACTTGGAGGGGAACCCCGTCACCCATACGTACAAGATGCACGAGCGGCACCTCGACAAGCACCAGTACGGGAGCAGCTACAAGGACTGCGTGCAGCTGTGCCAGAAGCACGCCAAGGATACCATGACCAACGTACAAGAGCGGATGCTGGATCTGCGCAAGATGTCGCCGATGAAGCTCTGGGTGGCGGCGAAGTGGCCGAGACAACGGGCGCAGCGCGAGAAGAAGACGAGAGAGTATCTGCTTGGATGCAGCGGCATCTTCGAGCACAAGCTGCCAGGCTTCGACGTGAAGGCAGCGGAGAGGGAGCTCGCAACTTGGGCGCCGATCATGCAGAATCATCACGAGGTGGAGAGTTTCCACCAAGGCCTGGCAAACTACCTCACGAAGACGGACTCGAGCAGGCAAGTCCAACCATATTGTCGTTTCTGAATCACCACCTTCCATTCTACTTGCCAAGTGTGCACAACATCGCCGCCCTTGCCAACCGCATCTTTTTGTTATCCGCCTTCACTGTATGCATTTCCTACTGCCTTTCTTCCGCCTCTGTTTTTGTGCCCCGTGTCAGGCGCTGGCCCAATCTGATGCGCCTCTGGCAGGCCTGCGCCGTGCTGCCTTTGTCAACCGTCGAATGTGAGAGGGGCTTCTCTCGGCAGAATGTGATTAAGTCCTGGGTCCGTGGCTCACTCTGCAACGCGCGCCTCTCCGAGTTGATGGCCATCTCGCTGCTGCAGTATGACATCAATTGGACCGAAGCCCTAGCGACCTGGCGAGAGAAGCTGAGACGGCCAGCACGATCCGTTGTCTTCGCAAGAGCGGAACGAAAACGCAAGGGGAAGGCCCTAGAGGGTGAGGTGGCGGGGGACACAACGGATGGACAGGGGGAGGTGCCAGAGTACGCGGGGGAGGGGTGGGCTGAGGAGGATGGGGGTGATGATGAGAATGATGCGGCTCCAACATTAGGCGACGACCCTTTCCTGTCCGACGATGAGGGGGGTGATGATGAGATTACTGTAGATGTGCCGGAGTTCTAGGTGCCTGTTAGCTAGTGGTGATTGCTTGGTTTGGTAGTAGTAGTTGTAGATAGGCTCCTGTCCAATGTAGCAAAATGTAATACACAAGAATAGCTTTTCTTAATAACATAAAATGTAACCCTGAGTACACTTGTGCGATCCTGAGAATTTCAGAGTTGCACATCTCTGGACTCTGACATTTCAGAGTCCCTAAATTCTGGCTGAAGGCCATTCAGACTTTTTTTTTTTTTGGGGGGGTCAGCTCAGAGTGCCTTTTTTTGAAACGTCAGCCCTGGTCTGGACTGGGCTGGTCAAAATTTGTGAAAATCACTGAGATAATTGGAACATCCCGGCTCACATGGCATGCCTGCAAGGGACATAACGGCATGAGAAAGGTGAGGTAATCTGCAACCTACACAGCAGCGTTGTGGTTTCTTTCCTACGCAGCAGATGTGTCAGAAGCATTCACATTAGCAGATGATTGGATGGAGGGAGCAGTGGTAGCACTTGGATTTTGTGGTCTGACTAGAGTTTGCCCCCTAAGTGCTGCCTGGTATCTGTCATTGATGTCCCTGCCCTCCTTGATTTCTCGCAGCATGTCCTCCACTCGCTGCTTATTGGCTGATGCTAATATCTGTGCGCAGGGACACGATACACGGGGGAAAGAAGCAGACGGACAGGGAAACAGAGATGCAGAGGACAGAGAGACAGAGAAAGAGAGGGCACAAGGGAAGTGGAGGGAAAGAGCGGAAGCATCATGAGTGGACTCACGGTGGACTGTAGGCCTCACCAGATCCGCCCAATTCCAGGAGAGTAGGAGAGCAGAAAAGACGGAGGGCATGCCGTTGTGTAACGAAGGGATGAGAGGTATGTGCAGAGTGCAGGGCTGGTATTGAGAGGGAGTAAGACCCAGCCGGACCTGCGACTCGCATCGCCGTGCCATCGGGCACCACAATCCGCCATTATCTTGCCACAAGTCGCAACCACAGTCAAAAGAATTCCCCCAACAAAATCCCTCCAACACAAAACCTCCCATTCACCCTGCCGATATCGCACCAAGGCGTCGGTTCGGCGACCGGCCAGCAGCTCGCGCTCCTTCTTCTTGCCTCGCTCCGAGTCGTCGCTGGGGTTGGTCCACGACTGAACGCCCTTGGCGGCGGCGAAGGCGGACGCCAGGCAGATGGCAGCGACACCAGCGAAGAAGAGCGGACTCGACTTCGATCGCCTCACGACCCAGCGATAAGTGGCGCTCGTCGCATACAGAAACGACATCATGCACAGATCCTACGGGGACAGTGATTGGAAGCGCCCATTCACAACTCGAGAAGCGCTCACGCGCTGATCAGGGCACTGGTGATTAGGGCGTGTCCCTTGCGTACGTTTTCGCGCGAAAACCCTACCCAACCGTTTTATGTTGCAAGCTGACCCTTCTGAAACAATGAGCATGTCACCCGACCGCAATCAAACGTAATCTTAGGACATTCCCTTGGAAGCATAGTGTCCACGCCATTGACACGAATAGGTGTATATGAAGGAAATCAGTGCTGCTACAGTAACAAGATGCATTGAGTGCTATGAGCGAAATAGAACTAAAGAAAATTAGGAGTATCAGATACGCATATACAACCCTACGTGTATCCCATGGACATCCATATGTTTATTATCAGCAATACCATAGGCAGATACCCTTCTTCAAAGAGACTCGTATGCACGGCTTCAGAAGTCAGGACAAAATGCATTGAAATGCTGTATATCTGTCAAACATGTGTAATTCTCATGTTTGTATAGACTGTATAGGGTCATCTCTTAGAGGGTACAAGACTTAGGTATATCTGTGTGTACTCTCACTCTATCAACTAACACTTCTCTGATTTTGTTATGGTATCACGCGTAGGTTAGGATCCCCCCCCACCTACCGCTTCCGCTCGCCCCTCCTAGCCCCGTCGTGCCCCTAGCCCCGTCGCGACCCCCCTAGCCCCGTCGCGCCCCTTCCTGGGCCCCGTCGCGCCCCTTCCTGGGCCTTGAAGCGCCCCTCCTGGGCCCCGTCGCGCCCCTCCCAGGCCCCGTCACGCCCCTCCAGGGCCCCGTCGCGCCCCTCCTAGGCCCCGTAGCGCCCCTCCTGGGCCCCGTCGCGCCCTTCCTGGGCCCTGTAGCGCCCCTCCCAGGCCCCGTCGCGCCCCTCCTAGGCCCCGTAGCGCCCCTCCTGGGCCCCGTAGCGCCCCTCCTGGGCCCCGTCACGCCCTTCCTGGGCCTTGTAGCGCCCCTCCTGGGTTCTGTCACGCCCCTCCTGGGCCCCGTAGTGCCCCCCCTGGGCCTCGTCGCGCCCCTCCCAGGCCCCGTCGCGCCCCTCCTGGGCCCCGTAGCGCCCCTCCTGGGCCCCGTCGCGCCCCTCCTGGGCCCCGTAGCGCCCCTCCTGGGTTCCGTCGCGCCCCTCCTGGGCCCCGTAGTGCCCCCCCTGGGCCTCGTAGCGCCCCTCCTGGGCCTCGTACCGCCCCTCCTGGGCCCCGTAGCGCCCCTCCTGGGCCGCGTCGAGCCCCCCCCCTCCTGGGCCCCGTCACGTCTTCCGGCCCCGTCGCACCCGCCCGGCCCCGTCGCACCAGCCCGGCCCCGTCGCGCCCGCCCGGCCCCGTCGCACCCGCCCGGCCCCGTCGCCCCCTGCCCGGCCCCATCGCAGCCGCCCGGCCCCGTCGCACCCGTCCGGCCCCGTCGCACCGGCCCGGCTCCGACGCACCTGCCCGGCCCCGTCGCAACGGCCCGGCCCCGTCGCACCCGCCCGGCCCCGTAGCACCGGCCCGGCCCCGTCTCACCTGCCCGGCCCCGACGCACCTGCCCGGCCCCGTCGCACCGGCCCGGCCCCGTCGCACCCGCCCGGCCCCGTCGCACCCGCCCGGCCCCGTCTCGCCCGCCCGGCCCCGTCGCACCAGCCCGGCCCCGACGCACCCGCCCGGCCCCGTCGCCCCGGCCCGGCCCCGTCGCACCCGCCCGGCCCCGTTGCACCGGCCCGGCCCCTGCGCTCGTCCCTGCCCCGGCCCCGGTCCTCCTCACTGGTACGGTTCCCCCCCCCCCCCCCCCCCCTCCCCGCCCTGCACTGCCCTGCACCGTCCTGCCCCGCACTGCACCGCCCCTCACCACCCTGTACTGCCTGGCACCGCACTGCACCGCACTACACCGCACTGCACTGCACTGCACTGTACCGCACGGCACCGCGCCCCACCTTGCTGCACTGCCCTGCACCGCACTGCGCTGTTCCTGATGGCGGCGGAGCTTCGCTTCGACGCTGAAGGCCAGCCTCTGGAGTTCGAGGCGTGGCTTGCCGACCTCCGCCGCCAACTCACTGGCCAGCGGCAGGATGGTGAACCGCTTTCTGCACACCTTGACGGTACGCTCCCCTGCCCAGACCCCCCTGCTATTTTGCCCGCTGACCCCACACCCACTGAGCGTGAGTCTACTGCTGCCACTGCCCGTGCGCGCTCTGTCTGGCTTTCTCGCGATGCTGTCGCCCAGCTTGCCATTAGCAACGCCCTCCCCCCGTCCGAGCGTCCTCGCTTTAGGTCCCTCACTACTGCTCAGGCATACTTAGATGCTGTCATCAAACGCTATTCCACCCCTCCGGCTGCCTCGGTGGGTCGCCTGATCCTCCCGATGCTCTTTCCTGACCTTGCTTCTTTCCCCACTGTCTCTGACCTCGCTGCCCACCTGCGCTCGATAGAGGAGACCTGGCGCGCCGCCTGCACTGACGCACAGCTTAGAGCCCACCAGCCGCCCATTACCTCTACCCTCTACCTGCTTGCCACCCGCCTCCCTGACCGCCTTGCTGTCGCCCGCGACCGCTTCCTTAGCATTCACCCCGCCGACCTCACCCTCACTGACTTTGTAGACACCCTGACTGTGATAGAGACCCGTCACCGCTCCATCGCCCAGGCGAGCGGTGCCGTGCCGGTCCCTATCTTTCAGGGTTGTGCCCCGGCTCAGTGTACCTTCTCCGACGGCTCTGTCGCAGTGGCTGAGACTGCTGCTGCAGCGCAGTTTCGTTCGGGGAAGGGCCGCCACCCCAAGGTTGGGCGCGGCGGAGGCGGGGGTGCGGGAGGGGGTAGTGGTGGGGTCGGGTCGTCTGGTGCTGGAGCAGACGAGGGGACCCTGCCCAGTCCAGCTGAGCCGCCGCCCCTGCAGTTGCAGCAGCCGCAGCAGCCGCCGCAGTCGCAGCCTTCGCAGCAGCCGTCGCAGACACGGCAGACGAGTGTCCTCCCGCCCAGGTGGCCCGGTGCTGGCGGTGGCCGGGCGCGTAGTGGTGTGCCGAGTGGTGGCTCTGGCGGCGGGCGTTGTCAGTACCAGATCCAGACCGGTCCTCGCCGAGGCTTCGTTTGCGGTAAGATCGGTCACTCCACTCCCCGCTGTTTTCGTCGCCTGGACGACCTCTTTCGTCAGCGCTTCGGCCCGTCGCCAGACCTCCCAGACTGGCACAGTTTGCTTAGTCGTAAGATTCAGATCTTTGATATGGACATGGATGCCATTGTTTCTGCTATGCATGTGATGTATGCTGATGACTCTAGTGTGCTTCCAGCTTATTACTCACTGTTGCCTAGCGTAGGTGTGTCTAGCGTAGCCTCCCCTGCTGCGTCAGGCGTAGGATCCTCTGCTTTGTATAGTCTTGGTGCTTCCACCGTCGTTCCGACGCCAGACGCCTCTGCTTCGCTTTCCTTCACCTTGGACTCTGGCGCTTCTCGGTGTTTCTTCCGCGACTCCACCACCCTGACGCCGCTTCCTGTTCCTGCTGCCGTCTCTCTTGCTGACCCCTCTGGTGGTCCGATAGTCGCCCGCAGTTCCACCACCCTTCCCTGTCCGGCGGTTCCTTCGGGCTCTCTTACAGGTCTGCATATCCCCTCGTTCTCCAGGAACCTAGTTGGTGTCGGCTGCCTCCAGGACCTTGGCGTCACCACTACGTTCCCTGGCCACGAGCGGTATGCTGTCTGTACCGAGGCCGCCACTGGTGCCCCCCTGTCCACGTTCCCCCGGGACCCGGTGTCTGGCCTGTTCACTCTAGACACCGTGACCCCCCCGGCTGGGGCCCCCCCTCAGGTGGCTGCGTCTACCCAGGTTGCTGCTGCCTGCTCCTGTCGGTCCCTCACTCACCCGACTCTCCTTTGGCACCACCGCCTAGGTCACCCTGCGCTCCCGCGTCTGCGTCACATGTCCCAGCACGGTCTTGTCCTTGGTCTCCCAGGTTCTCTCCCCGCGTTTCCCTCCTCCCCCGCCCCCCCTTGCACGCCCTGTGTCGAGGGTCGGCTTCGCCGTGCCCCTCACTCCTCCTCGTTTCCCCCTACCGCCGCGACGCTGCAGACCCTGCACCTGGACGTCTGGGGCCCCGCCCCCGTCCCTGGGCCGCGTCGAGAGCGCTACTTCCTTGTGCTCGTCGACGACTTCACTCGTTACACCACAGTCTTTCCCCTGGAGCGCAAGGCCGACGTGCCTGGCGCTCTCATCCCCTGGCTTGTCTCTGCGCGTGTCCACCGCGGTCTCCCTGTCTTGCGTCTTCACTCCGACCGTGGTGGCGAGTTTGCCTCAGGTGTCCTTGGTCGCTTCTGTCGTGCGGAGGGCATCACCCAGACGTTCACCCTACCGGACTCCCCACAGCAGAATGGGGTCGCTGAGCGACGCATCGGTTTGGTCATGGAGGTGGCTCACACCTCCATGATCCATGCCGGTGCACCCCATTTTCTGTGGTCGTTCGCTGTGCGCTACGCTTCTCACCAGCTTAACTTGTGGCCGCACCCTCAGCAGCCGCAGGTTTCGCCGACCCGTCTTTGGACTGGGTCTCCTGGTGACGCGTCTGCGTTCCACGTCTGGGGCTGCCTTGCTCACGTTCGTGCCTCCGGCACGGACAAGCTCACTGCCCGCACCCTTCCCTGCGTCTTCCTCGGTTTTCCCCTTGACGCGTCCGACTGGCACTTTTACCACCCGCCGTCTCACCGCTTCTTTCACTCTCGCGACGTCACCTTTGCCGAGTCCGTTTCCTACTACCGTCGCTTCCCCCACCGTGGTCCCCCGGTTACCCCCCCCCTGTTCCTGGTCACTCCTTCCCCGGTAGTCCCTGCCCCTCCTCCTCCTCCTCCTCGTCCCGCCCCCTCTGGTGTGTCCCATGTCACCCCCCTTCCGTCGGCGGACCCGGTTGAGGAGTCCTCTGACTCTGGTGGCCCTCCTGTGCAGTCCTCGCCGGCTGCCCCTCCCCCGGTGTCCCCTCCCCAGTCCCCTCCTCCACCGCCTCTGCCGGCGCTGCAGCCGTCGTTATCGCTGCCGCCGCAGCCGCCGCCGCCGCCACCGCCACCGCCGTCGCAGCCCCCGTTCGCTGACTCTGGGGGTGCTCGTCCCGGTCGCCCTGGGGGTGGCCCCTCTGGGGGTGCTGGTGTGGAGAGTGCCGGTGGTAGCCGAGGAGCAGCTTGCGGTCCAGGTGTCGCCGTTGCACCACCGCAGCAGCAGTCCCCGCCGGTGTCAGCCCTTCGCCTGCTCGGCCTTCCGTCACCCGACCCTGCGTCTGTTCCTCCCCGGCCGTCTCCTCCTCTTCCTGTCTACGGCCCGGTTTTCCCTCCACCGGACTCGTCTCCGGCCTATCTCCCCCCTCGTTCCTGTGAGAGTACGACTCCGTTACACCACTTGGCCTTTTCCATATTTCATCTTCATTTCATTCCTCTTTTTATCTCACCTCCTTTTGCCTCATATTCCCCATTTTCCATTATCCTTTGGTTTCTTCCTTTATTATTATTATATCACCGACCAGGCATGGAATGTTCTAGACACGCTATCTAGCGTAATCCTGCTGTAATCCCTTCAAGCCAATAGCCTCGCGTGGCTATACGCAGGGTGATTCTATCTTCTAGAAGGGTCTATTCCCTTAGGATAAGATAAACCTGGTTACCTGATGTATTCTGGAAGTATAAAAGCGCCTTGTACCGATCGATAGTGGAACCTTTCCTCGACACATTCGATCCTGTGACACTTGGTAATCAGAGCTTTTCTCACTCGGCCGCGCTCAGCTAAGCAGCAGCAGCGGGGATCCTGCCTCGAAAAACCGCCGGGGGCGACCAATTCGACGCCGATTCTGGTAAGCACCAGCTCCGCGATTTTCGAATTACCCCCTCCGTGCGTGTTTTGAACAGGATGGCAACCTTCGACAACGCCGAGGTTACCCAGCAGCTCTTCGCGCGCATCGCAGCCCTTCAGGAGGAAATGCGAGCGGATCGCGAAGCGTGGCGAAACCAGTTCGAGCGAGTAACTCGACTCGCCGGAGCGCAGCACGAGACGACAACGGCGACGACGCAGCAGTCGCAGCAGTTTCTCGAGGCTCCGAAACCGCGCCCACCTGAGCCGTTCGATCCGAGCGATCGAAACTCCGACGCCCGCAGATGGATCGCCGGGATAGAGATCTACTTCGCAGCCGTCGGATGGAGCTCGCCAGTCTGGGACGGTCAACGCGTACGACTCGCGGCGACACTAATGCGAGGGCCGGCACTCGAGTGGATTGGCGGCAACAGCACCTTCATCCACGGTGAAGCCACGTGGCAGCAGTTCCGCGCCGACCTGCTGAAACGCTTCGAACCGATAAATTCAGGTTTCCTTGCCCGCGAAAAAATTCATCGCCATCGACAGTTCGGGAGTGTAGCACAGTACACGCAGCAGATGGAAGAATTTTATAACAGAATTCCCGACCTGACCGAAGGGGAAAAAGTGCAATCGTACCTCGCAGGGCTGAAGACTGAAGTCAAACGACAAGTCGCAGCGTCAAACTACGCGAGCTACAGTGACGTCGTTTCGGCAGCGGAGCGCTTCGACATGGTCAACGCCGGAACACGACGGACGCACGTCGGCAGTACGCGACATGGCGACCGCTCGGCTCACCCCACGTTCGCCGACCCGATGGAAGTCGACAGATTCGAGGGGCGGCCACGTCCGAAAAATACCAACTACACGTGTGATTTTTGCGGGGTGCCGGGCCACCGAATCTTCGACTGCAACAAAATGAAGGCCGCACGCGCAGAGTATCGGGCACGCAACAGTGGCGGAAATCTTCCGGCCAATCAGAAGACAAAAAACGGGAGTCGCCAGTGATTGCGGATCTAGCTGGCGAAAATAAAAAGATCCGAAAGCGGCCGCGGGATTCCGAGAAAATCAACTTCGACGAAGCTGATTCGACGCGAGAAGGAGGAAATGATGGGGGAAAATCTCCACCCCACGACCAGTCTCCGCCAGGGAAATTCGCCGAGGAAAAATACGACTCCGCGAAAAAGGCTCTGCCGAGACGGGGAAACTCCTTGAAGACCCAAGAAATTATAAGAATTCGTTAAAGTTATCTTATAAAGATGCTTTAATGAAAACTTATGATGTTCGAGGGGCTAGAGCCTTGGAGAAAATTCGGGAGGGACTCCAAAAGAAGCAGACAGCTGTGGAGATTATACCGGTACCGGACAACTTGGGGACCAAATTAAGGAGTGTGGAAAGAAGCCGACCTTTCCACGGAGTCAACGTCCTCTCCCGACACCAGCCCACAACGACTACCCGCTCCCCAGGGAAGACGTCGGTGGAGCTGAAGCAGCTCAAGAGGAAGCTGGGGGTCTACAAGAAGCTGCACAAACCCCGAACTCCTTCTACGGATGCATCCAGTTCTTCGGCATCAGTGACGCGCACAGTCGTCAAAGAAACTCCGGGCCCTGGAGAAGAGCCGTTCTCCAAGCAGCCTTGGCCAGCTGCCAGCTCAGGAGTAGACAACAACACAAAGGTGTGTACGGAATATTGGGATGTACCCTATGACCCAATCAATGAAACTATCTTTGGGTACTCCGAGCAACGACTGCCCCTCGTGCTCGAGGTCATCTGCAAAGGACGACGCCTCCAAGCACTCGTGGACAGCGGAGCGTCACACACCGTCTGCGACAAGGCAATGATCGACCGACTCCGGGAAGAGTACAAGCCTTCAGGATTCTCTGCAACGATGGTGGACGGCAGCAAGTTACCAGTACACGGCGAAGCAGTGCTACATCTACAAATCGGACCACTGCGCTGGAGACCTGCACTCCCCATCACCAACATCAAAGGGCTTGACTTGATCTTCGGGCGAGACTTCCTGAAAAGATTCAACCCCGAGATCAACTGGGTAAACCGCACCGCAAGCATCTACAACAATGGACGGAGAGTACAGCTACCCAACTGGGACGACACTGGAGATATCCCAGTGGAGACACTCGCACGATTCGAGAAGGACGTGAAGCGGACCGACACCGGGTTCCTGGCGATAGCAACAGAGGTGGAGAATGACGGAGAGAAAGCCTCGGAAACTCCAGGAAAGATCAAGGAATTACTGAAGGAGTTCCAAGACATTCTTCCTGACGATCTTCCGAACGAGCTACCGCCATACCGAACGCATCAACACGAGATCGTGGAGGAACCGGGTTCGAAGCCGACCTTCCGAGCACCATACCGGCTCAGCCCTACGGAGCTGACCGACATGAAGAAGCAGATCGAGTATCTCCTAGCCAAAGGACTCATCCGACCATCTACTTCGCCATACGGTGCCCCAGTACTCTTTACACCGAAACCGGACGGAAGCCTGCGCATGTGCATCGACTACCGAGCTCTTAACAAGCAGACCATCAAGAATAAATATCCGATACCGCGAATCGATGACCTGCTTGACCAGCTTCGGGGAGCTACGGTATTTTCCAAACTGGATCTGCGGTCCGGATACTGGCAGATACGGATGGCGGACAACTCTATCCACAAAACTGCTTTTCGAACTCGGTACGGATCGTACGAGTATTTGGTCATGCCGTTCGGACTCACCAACGCACCGGCAACGTTCCAAGCCGAAATGAACCACATTCTACGACCACTTCTGGACGAATGCGTGGTGGTGTACCTGGACGACATACTCATCTACTCGCGCGACATGAAGCAGCACGTCGAACACCTGCCACGCGTCTTCGAAATTCTTCGACGAGAACGATTCTACGTCAAACTGTCCAAGAGCGAATTCGCCCTGGAGAAAGTCCAATTTCTAGGCCACATGGTGAGCGCTCAAGGAGTTCACGTCGACCCCAAGAAAATCGAAGCCGTACGTACGTAGAAGACACCCGAGAACGTGAAGGAGTTGCAGCAGTTCCTAGGCTTCGCTAATTACTACAACAGGTTCGTGCCACAGTATGCGAAACTCGCGGCACCACTCACGAATCTGCTGAAGAAGAACACGCCCTACAAATGGGAGACGAAGCACCAGGAAGCCGTGGAGCAGCTGAAACAAGCACTAACGTCCGCACCGGTGCTCATCTTGCCAGATCCCGAACGCGACTACGTAATCGAAGCTGACGCCAGCGACCAGGCAGTGGGAGCAGTCTTAATGCAAGACCAGGGGAATGGACTGCAACCAATTGCCTACCTCAGCAAGAAACTGCACGGGGCAGAACTCAACTACCCGATACACGACAAAGAGGCTCTTGCTATCGTCATCGCCTTCAAAGCGTGGAGATGCTATCTCGAAGGACGAAGAACAACCGTCTACACCGACCACTGCAGCCTGAAATATTTGAAGACACAACCCAACCTTTCCAGGCGGCAGGTCCGGTGGATCGACTTCCTCGAGACACACTTCCACTACGACATCGTGTACAAGCCCGGCCACAAGAACAAAGCAGACGCTCTCAGCCGGCCTGCACACGTTGCCGCGATTCAGATCGAAGGGATGAATCCACTACTCAAGGGACTCTTCACCCACGGGTACGCCATCGACCCCGAAATTCCCTTGGCAGAAAGGCGACATCTGCTACAGTGGGACAATGACATCGCATACCGGAAGGGATCCACAAAAATCTGGGTACCCAATTACCCTCCTTTGCGCCAGTTACTACTCGAAGAATACCACGACGTCCTCTACGCCGGACACTTCGGTAGCAACAAGACGCTCACCGGTATCGCCAAACACTACTACTGGCCCCATATGGCAGACGACGTCCAGAAATTCGTCACCTCGTGTGATACATGTCAGCGGATGAAGAGCAGCAAGCAGAAAAAGGCGGGACTACTGCAGCCTCTTCCTGTCCCAGAACAACCATGGCAAGTGGTTAGCCTAGACTTCATCACCGGGTTACCACCTACCTCCAGCAGTCATGACGCCATCCTTGTCGTCATTGACAAGTTCTCCAAAATGGGACACTTCATCCCGACACACACGACGGCACGCACCGAGGAGACAGCACAGCTCTTCGTTCGTCACATCATCTCACAGCATGGCATCCCAACTACACTCATTTCCGACCGAGACCCCAAGTTCACCAGCAAGTTCTGGAAGGAACTTATGTCTCTGCTCGGCACCAAACTCGCCATGTCATCCGCATACCATCCGCAGACAGACGGACAGACCGAGCGCCTCAACCAAATTGTTGAGCAACTCCTCCGAGCAGCCTGCAAGGACGACATCTCCAAATGGGACTTGCACCTACCCGTCCTGGAGTTTGCCTACAACAACGCTACACACGCCGCTACTGGACAGACGCCGTTCTTCCTCTGCTACGGACGCCACCCACTCACACCACAAAAACCGACAGCATCACCTACAGTCCAACCCGCACATGATTTCATTACAACCATGCATCAACTTTGGGATCGGACCCATAAGCGCCTCCTTGACATTCAACAGCAACAGAAGCGCCAGGCCGATCGCCATCGCAACGACCACACCATTTCCGTGGGAGACCAGGTTCTCCTTGACACCCGCAACCTGGACATCAGCCATCTCCCATCTAAACTGCGACCTCGCTTCTGCGGGCCTTTTCTCGTTGAAGCACAGGTCACTCCTGTTACCTTCCGCTTACGCCTGCCAGCTACCTGGAAGATTCACAACGCCTTCCACGTCCAACTTCTGAAGCCCTATCGGGACCCGAACACAATTTTCGTCGGACGCCAGCCGCCGCCGCCGCCGCCCGTCCTCGTCCAGAACGAACCCGAGTACGAGGTCGAGTCCGTGCTTGCACATCGTCGTCGTCGGAATGGCACCGTGGAGCTTCTCATCCGTTGGAAGGGTTATGATCCTTCTGAGGACAGCTGGGTCTCTGAGACCGACATGGGTAACGCCCGTCGTCCTCTGCATGACTACCTTGTCAAGCAGGGTGTTACTTCTACCACCCAGCTTTGAGGGGGGGAAGTGTGAGAGTACGACTCCGTTACACCACTTGGCCTTTTCCATATTTCATCTTCATTTCATTCCTCTTTTTATCTCACCTCCTTTTGCCTCATATTCCCCATTTTCCATTATCCTTTGGTTTCTTCCTTTATTATTATTATATCACCGACCAGGCATGGAATGTTCTAGACACGCTATCTAGCGTAATCCTGCTGTAATCCCTTCAAGCCAATAGCCTCGCGTGGCTATACGCAGGGTGATTCTATCTTCTAGAAGGGTCTATTCCCTTAGGATAAGATAAACCTGGTTACCTGATGTATTCTGGAAGTATAAAAGCGCCTTGTACCGATCGATAGTGGAACCTTTCCTCGACACATTCGATCCTGTGACAGTTCCCCTCCTGTGTCACCTCCCCTGTCTCCTGACCCGACTCCTCCGTTGCACGTCTGGTCTCACCGTCCCTCCCGTGCTCGTCCTGCCTCTCCTGTCTTGCGCTCCCACCCTATGTTGCTTCGTTCCCACGCGTCTCGTCCTCCCCTTCTGCCGTCGCCTCCTCCGTCCTCCCTTGTTGTTGCACCCCCCCCGCTGTCTGACTACCTTCGTGCCGCTTGCCCCCTTGTTCCTCGGGTCCTTGCCTCTCTCGTTACCGACCCGTCTGTTCCGGTCTCGTGCCTTGACGCTCTTGTCGCTGCTGTCGCTGACTTCGCCTTTACCCGCCGCCTTGACTACGCCACAGCTCTGGTCTCTGACCCTGCCTGTCCTCCGTCTGTCGGGGGTGCTCCTGCTCTTGGCAGTGACGTCCTGGAGGACCGCCAGTTCGAGCTTGCTTTCCTCTCCGAGGCTGCTCCCCATCTCTGCTCCATGCTGCTAGTCCCTGAGGGTGACCCAGACGCTTTCGACATCCCGACCCCTCGCACTAACGCTGAGGCGACCTCGGGACCCTGGGCCTCACAGTGGATAGCTGCCATGGAGCAGGAGATGGCATCTTGGAGATCCACCGGCACCTTTGTCGACGCAGTTCCCCCACCTGGGGTGAACGTAGTCGATGGCCGCTGGCTCTTCAAGGTGAAGCGCCCTCCTGGAGAGCCGCCTGTCTTCAAGGCGCGCTATGTGGCTAGAGGCTTCAGTCAGCGCGAGGGGGTGGACTTCTTCCAGACCTTCGCTCCGACCCCGAAGATGACTACTCTTCGGGTTCTGTTACACATTGCTGCTCAGCGTGACTACGAGCTTCACTCCCTCGACTTCTCCACTGCCTTCCTTCAGGGCAGCCTACACGAGCAGGTCTACCTGCGCCGACCTCAGGGCTTTACTGGCACCTTCCCTCCTGGGACCCAGTGGCTCCTCCGGCGCCCCGTCTACGGCCTGCGCCAGGCTCCCTGTGAGTGGCACGACACTCGCCGTGCTACGCTTGCTGACCTGCAGTTCTTTCCGTCTTCCGCAGACCCCTCACTCTTCGTTCGTGTTGGCCAGACTCCGTTCTACATCCTTGTTTACGTCGACGACCTGGTCTTTGCCACAGCAGACAGGGACGCACTGGCCTCCGTGAAGGCAGAGCTGCTGAAGAGACACACCTGCACTGACCTTGGAGAACTGCGCCGCTACCTTGGCTTGCAGATCTCCAGGGACAGAGCATCGCGCACCATCACCCTGACTCAGTCACACTTGGTGCGCCAGGTCCTTCAGAGGTTCAGCCTTCAATTCTCCTCTGCACAGCCCACCCCTCTGCCTGTAGACCACAGACTCTCCGCTCCAGTGTCTGAGGAGTTGGTAGAGCCCAGTGGCCCCTACGCAGTGCTGGTGGGTTGCCTCATGTACCTGATGACTTGCACTCGCCCAGATCTCGCATACCCTCTCAGCATCCTGGCTCGTTTTGTGGCCACAGGCAGACACCGACCGCAGCACTGGTCTGCCAAAAGAGAGTTCTGCGTTATCTCGCTAGTACATCGGGCATGGGGTTAGTGCTAGGAGGACGCAGGCCAGTGGTCCTTACTGGACACACAGACGCTTCGTGGGCAGACGGCGCCGAGACACTCAGGTCTACCCAGGGCTACTGCTTCAGCCTTGGCTCAGCTGCCGTCTCGTGGAGAGCTACTCGCTCCTCGTCTGTAGCGCAGTCCAGCTGTGAGGCTGAGATCTACGCTGGTGCCATGGCGGCACAGTAGCTCCGCTGGCTGACCTTCTTGCTCACTGACTTAGGTGAGCGGCCTAGCTCTGCCCCGGTCCTGTTCGCTGACAACAGGGCCATGATCCTCCTGTGCCAGGAGCCTCGACTTGAGGGCAGAGCGAAGCATATTCAGCTGCGGTACTTCCTCCTGCGCGAGCTACAGCAGCGACGCCAGGCTCGCGTAGTACACTTGGCCTCAGGTGCCAACACGGCTGATATCTTTACGAAGGCGCTTGCGCCTAAAGATCATCAGCGGCACTGCGTACAGCTTGGTCTAGTTCCTGTAGCCTCTCACTTGCTAGGACCTTGACTTTGTACTGTCCTTTATATGTATACTCAGACTGGACTTGTGTCCTCTCCCAGTGGCTGGACTAGTAGTGCCGCCCTGCTCTTGTTCTTGCCTTGTCTGTACTCCTTCTGACTGGTCTCTCAGACCCTTGTCTCAGAGGTTGGACTAGTAGTGCCGCCCTGAGCTGCTTGTTTAGGACATTCCCCTATGCAGTCTAGGGGGTGTGTCAAACATGTGTAATTGTCATGTTTGTATAGGCTGTATAGGGTCATCTCTTAGAGGGTACAAGACTTAGGTATATCTGTGTGTACTCTCACTCTATCAACTAACACTTCTCTGATTTGGTTAATATCAGGGTGTTTTTTTAGGGTCGTCCTGTTTTTTCAGCTTTTGATTTTTCCTAGGCCCCGGTTGTGTACACCGACAACAGGGCCATGATCCACCTCTGTCAGGAGCCTCGACTTGAGGGCAGAGCGAGGCACATGCAGCTGCGGTTCTTCCACCTCCGCGAGCTACAGCAGCGTCGCCAGGCCCGCGTTGTACACTAGGCCTTCGGTGCCGGCACAAATGATATCTTTACTAAGGCGCTTGCGCCTAAAGACCATTGCTGGAAATACCTCAATGACTTAAGCGTTTCTGAAGTGTGACACTACACTCGAGTAAAGCCGTATCGGGTACGCGAGTCAACGGAGGTTACACAAGGAGGTTGGACGAAAGAACACGAAAGGACAAAAGCCTTGAAGGGTCGCAACCTCCGGTTGCGACTGACCGTTACAACTGCAAGGGTGGTAACCGAACCGATCATCAAGTCGTTGTGCGACTCGATCACCGTTCCTTCAACTGTATTCCACAACTGCTTTACTTTCCTATTTTCTATATATTGCTGTATGCTTGTTTCTTTTAATCAATCACTTGCTCTCACATATTAGTGCAAGGGTTCAACTACTCAACTTCCGCTGCACCACTCAAGCATCCTTGTACAACTAGGACTTCGTCTCTGAAAGATCCGAAGGGTTTTTTCTCAGCCCAACATGGTATGAGAGCTGGTCAGAGACCAAACTCCCAGCAACAACGCTCTATCTACAGTCAACACATCAAACAGCTTCATCGATTATAAGACATGGATAACAAGGACAAGATGATCTCTACGGGCTCACCCAGCGCCCAAGACACTCAACCCGGCAACTCTGGACTACACACTTCAGGACTGCAAACCGAGACCGGCGCTGCTCAAGAAACAACAAGGAAGGGCACCAGAAATGGTGACCCCATCACCCTCTTCAAGCGTGGACCCGAACCTTATGGAAAGGTTCTTCAGCTTCATGTCGCACTTCGACCAGCAGCAGCAGATTAGGACACCTGCGCACTCAACACAGAGCAACGGAGGAAACATGGGATTAGTGTCGATGAGCCTCGACAACTCATCGTTCGGGCGACATAATCAAGCGCCTACCTTTGCGCCTTATCACTCTTCATCGAAGACGTTCGAGGTCATGCCGCCCCGTGCCCAACCAACAGCAGCTGCATCACAACAAACACCAAACGAGATACTTAGTCTCCAGGCGCA